CACTTTTTCAGTAATTCTCTTGCATGTTCTTTGCCACGGCAAGTGTGTTTGTTGTCCACATTTTTTAAGGATTCTCGAAATCTTCTGAATGTAACATCGTCCGATAAGCTGTTCTTATCATCAGATTTATTAGGAATTCCTAAAGCTTCCAGTTCACAACTTTCCCAACAATTCAGACATAAAATCAACTTCGAAGCTACTTAAAAAATCAATTTCTGTATTATATTAAATGTTTCTGATACATTAAATGCATTTTCTGTTCCACTGCAGATTACCCCAGTTTAGTTTATGCAGCTGCTAATGATAAATAAATTGGGCACCCTTGTAAGCCCTTGCTCCAATGAGCATGAACATTGAGCAGATAAATTTACCATATTTTTTGCATAAGATTTATTCGCATAAAAGCTGCACCACTTGCCTGCGAGAACTGCATGCGGTTCATGAGACGAGCTATGACCACCTTTGGCATATACATTTCAATCATATGCAATTAAATATTCAAAGTAATGTGATAATTGTTTAACAAGAAATTCTTCAGAATTAAAGAGAAAAGTCATCTCTCAATCATTTAGAATAAATTTGTGTCTTCAATATTTAATTTGGTAGTTAATTATTAAATGTTAATTTTAACAAGCTGCTGTTTTCAATTACTACTTACCACATAAAGAAATTGCTTCAAAAATTAAATTTTTTCATCCCGCTTAGTAAAGAAATGATAAGGTAAATTTGTGAATTTACCTTATGGTATACCTTGTCAATAATATTTTATATAAAATGAATAAGGTAAATAAATCGAAACAAAAGCAGAAACCCCAAACTGGAATCAAACTTGCTTCAGTGTATTTTATTAGAAAGGGATTAGTGCCAAAAATTGACATTATTCCTACTCCGAAAGTGCCTTCCAGAAATAAATAAATACAACAACATCATGAAGATAGAACAGACGTAAATATTTAAAAGGTAAAAAATATAGCATTAGACTTATTTTATACCATGTTTGATTTTTATACTCGTTTTTTTCTGTTTTTTTCGTTGTAGTTTTCAAAATAATAAGCATATATGAGGTAAATAAACAACTGACATAAGTGTCAAATTTGTGTTAAAATTGTCATGAAGTGTTGTTTTGCTTAAAATGCTTTTTAAAAGAAGGTAGGTTCAAACGGTAAAAAGAAAAGCTGCTTAATATTCAAACGGTAAATCAGGAGCTTTCAAAGTCTATAATATGCAGACTTCATAGTTCATTTGCATTCTTTCTGGTTTTTAACGTATGTAATATCAGGAACTAGTCTTGATTAATAGTGCAGCACTCATAAAAGGCATTGCTTTCAAAATCAGAATTTGTAAATTAATTCATTTGTTGCATATAAAAAACAGTTTTCAGGTTTTTCAGGTTTTTAAAAGCTAAAATAAAAACAATCCTGTTATTTTGTTCTAAAATTAAGAACAATCTTGTTTAATAATTAATTAAAATAAACTAACATTTTATGCATTTAAATCAATCACAAGTTCAATTGTATATTGCTTTATCTACGCATCGCAATAAATGATGTTATTTATTATTGCATTTGCCTCAAAATATTCTAAATACAATAATATTAATTAAGACCCAGGATTTTTATTGTCTAGCGTTTCTAATTACAGCGCAGTTCATTTTAATTTTCTTATTGCTTATATCAAAGTTGCTCGTAGATAACAAATTTAATAATTAGAGAAAATTATTTTAAAAGAGCTGCTACGACTAGTAAAAGCGGCTTAACTATTCTCCTAGTCGTTAAAAAGCGGCCAAAATGCACTCATTTGTTAGTCTAAGAAATCCTTGCTGTTTGTTTAATATTATGTTCATTCTCCACTAGCAGGCACTAGCTGTTATAGGAGTTGACCATTATTTACTGAGACCCTAAATTTTAATTGGGAAGGGCCGTGGCGAGACACCCTATCGAACAATAAATTATTAACATAAGAAACCTAATAGGGCGTATATAGGATAGGTAAAAAATTCAAACCTTGGCTCAGCTTCGGTATATGAAGTCAGAATCAATAACCACATTCCCGTCTGGTATGCTGAAGAATTAACACATAAATTTTTATGTTACAGGAGAACTGATGAGCACCAAAAATACGTAAGTAATTAATATGTATGTGAACTCATCAGTTCCTCACTTCGGAATTCTAAGTTAATGTTGGAAGTGAAGAATCTAAGAACTGATAATCGAATAATCGCTTAAGTTCGGTGACAAGAAACAACAAAATAGAAGGGTAACCAACCCTTTATTATTTCAATAAGATTTAACTCTGCCTGGGAGTGTACAAACAAAGCCCGCACTTGGGCTTGAACTTAAAAGACTAAGAATTAAACTAAAACTAAGATTAACTAACGAAATATAGCCGAAGCTATCAAAGTTCAAATCGAGTTGGCTTCTTAACTTATTTGACTACGAAGTTTATCAAGGGCCGAGCGTATAACAGCTTTGAGAGAGAGAGTAGCCAAAAAGGCAGACGCGCGTAAATCAGAAAATCTGATTCTCTCTGACTCAGTAAGTAACTTCGTGGTTTAAATACCGCTCCTCCTCATTAAATATTCAGCAAGATTCCAAAACTATGTTCTGGCCGGAAGTAGTAAGGTGAAGTTAAGAATTTTACAGGAAAGGAGCTTTAACTTAAAATTTAACTGTTAATAAAATTAACATAATCCTTACAAACTGATTGAGCCAAATCTTGAACAGACTCACAAAAAGCATTAAATCATTTAATTGATTTTTTATCATATTACTGAGGAGCGACTAAATCACTTGTTCTTAATTATTTCCAGAGTGGAATAAAACTAAAAACAGTTCCAAAATAAATAAAAATGTAAAATAAATAAACGAATAAAACTAAAAATAACAAGAAAAACTCTTGCATCCAGCTTGGAATGAGTTATCTATATGCAAATCCTTCCTCAGATTATTTTAATTTGCTCAAGGGTATCAAAACAGTTCCAAAATAAAAAAAATGTAAAATAAATAAACGAATAAAACTAAAAATAACAAGAAAAACTCTTGTATCCAGCTTAGAATGAGTTATCTATATGCAAATCCTTCCTCAGATTATTTTAATTTGCTCAAGGGTATAAAAACAGTTCCAAAATAAATAAAAATGTAAAATAAATAAACGAATAAAACTAAAAATAACAAGAAAAACTCTTGCATCCAGCTTGGAGTGAGTTATCTATATACAAAGATTTTGACTACTTCGCCGCTGACGAATCTGTTTAAACTTAATTAACTATTAACTACACCAGTCTAACCTTTCTGTCCTTCAGATGAAGTTTTGGCTTTTTGTTAAGCAGGAGTCTGAACTCCAAGAATACAGACAAAAGGTAAAAGTTAACTCGAAGGTTTGTTAAAAGCTATGTCTTCTAATACAACTTACATTTAATAAAAACAAGCCACTACTATGTGCGAGGTATCAGAGATTCAAATACATTGTGTAATTAAAAGATCATCTTCAGCCCGTGTCATAAACTAAGCTGGGTCCAATTACAACGGCTTCTAGCAATGTGAACTTACAGATACAAAATCACTTGCCACATCGGCACATAACGAGCCATCCACTAAATTGAAGCAATGAAGTTGAAAGCATTTCGCATTATTACCCATTCTTTCAGAGTTGCTTTAAAATGTTTAAAACAAACAAAAAATTCTGAAATGGTTTAGACTTTTAACAATAGCCCAAAAGGCTGTAATTGTTCGCCTAGATGGGATAGCGACTGCTATTTGTTCGAAAACATTTTGGAGGATAGCGGTTGATTAGACTTTTAAAAATTCTGAAATAGTTTAGACTTTTAACAATAGCTCAAAAGGCTGTAATTGTTCGCCTAGGTGGGATAGCGACTACTGTTTGTTCGAAGCATTTTGGAGGACATCGGTTGATTAGACTTTTAGAATAGCATGGGAACTTTCGATATCTTCTATACATTTGAAAAGTAGAAAAATCTGTAACGTCATTACATACTGACTGAATTTTTTAATGAGATATATTTTTTTCCAATGGCAGATTGTGAACAATTGCAAATGTAACCCAGTCCATTAATCTATACAAGGCCGGATGTGGTGGTCTCTTTATTATGGAGGCACCCTAATAGGTGGGCCACGATCGCCTTTCCTATGAAGGGAACGGACAGTTACAACCATGCCTTCTCCGGGATTCGAACCCAGGCCCTTCGGCATCGCAGTCAGCTTCCCTGACCACTATACCGACCTGGCGGCTTTTAATGAGATGTATCACAAATTAAATGCGTTTTTATTTAAATCAATCAAATTAACAACTTAAAATTGTAATAATCTAAAGAACTTCATTTATTACTTTTAAATAGATTAATTTGTTAATTAATAACAGATGAAATTGGAAACATAAATAAATATCTTATATTTTGCCAAATGGCAATAAACTCAAATAAAAAGTGAAACAATGCAAAATCGCATTTCGAGACAAATAAAAAATAACGTTTAGCTTTTACAAAGTGTGAGAAATTTCGAAATACATGAAAAATACATGAATACGAAATACATGAATTTCGAAATACATGAAAAATACATGAATACGAAATACATGAATTTCGAAATACATGAATTTCACAGTTACTGAATTTTTTGTTTCGAACAGAAAGAAGCAAAGATGAAAACTGATATATGGTGCTAAATTCTCACAAAATTATCTTCGTTACTAAAATTATCTTAGATTTTTAAAAGACACTATATTTAAACATTAATGAATTTAATTTATTATAAGATCAGAATTCTCAATTGTCGATAATTATCTATTTATTGCCATACACAAAATTTCTGTAAACATAACCCTTTTGAAAAGTTTTTAAGTTTAATGGAATCAAATTTTGAAAAGCGGGATTCTCTTTTCAAATTCTTTTATTTTAGCCTTGTCTGATATAACGCTTATTGGACTAACGATCAGACATTCTGATTACGCGTCTGAACAGGTTTTTCCCTGAAAGATTTACTTACAATGCACGTGAAGAATAATCCTACGACTGACTGAAGGGGGGACACCATTGGCGGCGATGCACAGATAAGCCCCCGTATGAAGGCGGCTCACTCTGGTGATGCTAAGAATTTCTCCTTCGTAAGTGACAGCATTAGGATCTGTAAAATGATATGTTATGAGTTTATGAATAATAACGAACAAAATAAAGAAAATACATAAAAAAAATTATTCATCATCAGACTTTTCTCAGCAGTGATTACTTATACCTATGCTTTCTTCTAAAAGGAATACCTTATGCTCTGCTCACGAATTAATTGCTTCCTTTCAAAAATATTTTCGGAATTTTTCTGGTGGTATTAGTTCTACTTCTTCCAATAGCTTGCAACTGTGTTTTTGCGTAATATATATTTTCTACGTTTTACTACTTATTACCACTTTCGGCAAATATAATTTCTTATTTTATTTACAAAATGTTTGATTACACCTTAGAAAAGAACTGCACATTTTAGGATCTGATATTTAAAAAACTAAACTTTGACTAAAATATGCGCACATGATCTCTTGCTCCATGCGGCCACGTTGTCAATACCAGGGCCGGATTTACGTATAAGCTACACAAGCTCTAGCTTAGGCCCCTCTTTCTTGGGGGAACCCCAAAAATTAAAATATAGTATAAATAGTATTAAAATGCACCATAACAGACTTATAAAGGGATCTATATCTAAAATAACTTAGGACTCTATCAAGTCTAAATCTGGCTCTGGTCAATACTCATTCACTTACAACAGCTTTTAGACCCAACTGAAGGCAAGAAGGCACTTGGATTCTGAAGGCAAGAAGGATACCGGCTATTATAGGTTCAACTAAAGGCTTGACCACAAAAAAGTTAAGAATTCTCAGATCTCTAACTATGGAACAGAATTAAATTAAAGGGAATAATTTTTAATTGTTGGAATCTCTTTGATGCTCTATTTAACTTGGTGCCATTCTACCATCACGTCCCATCTTAAAAGTAAGTTGAAAATGATGGGCGCAGACAACCAGATTGTGACCAGCTTGAAACCAGCTGTTTGAGACCAGCTGAAACAGCTTGAAACCCAAAATAGCCAAAGATAAGCTCCAGTTTGTTAAAATAATGTAAAAATAATGTGACAGATGAATGCAGGTTGTTTTGGATTAATATCCTCGGGTTTTTATGAAGTTAAAATAATCATTCCTCAGATTATTTTAATTTGCTCAAGGGTATGCTCTGAAGAACATTTTAAAAAAATAAACTTTGTTTTAAAAGAACATGTCTTCTAGTAGGTATCCATGGCACCCAGGCTCTTATCGTACTGGAAGACAAGTTAAAGTACAACTTCGCCATATACTCATTATGCGGTAGACATCGAATGATCAGAAGGCGACAAAATGCCTAAGATCAGAGTTTGTGTAAGCTTTGAGCCATGTATCTCTGTAAAAATTATTTTTGAAGTTGTGTTTTTACGCATTGCGTGGGGATCGAAATGAAAATTAAAATCGAGAATCCGGACATATGTGAAGGGTACTCTGCCAGTGATATTTCGTAAGCTAATCTTGGTTATGTGAAATTATGAGAATTTTTGAAGCTGTTGTTGTGGCTTTTCTCACATTTCTGGCTTAAACAATTATCGTGACAAGGAGGACAAAATTGAATTTGTAGTTGACATACACGTTGAGCACCGTATATGTGATAGTGCAACTTTGCAAACCTCCCTTTCAATTTTGATGTAGAGTACTCCAGGCTACGTGTCCGAGTGTGTTTTCAACCACCCTTTAATGCACAAAGCAACATAAGATACATTTTTGTCTAATTTATATTAGTTCAGTTGGAGAATTTATCAAATTCAGATAGTTGTAAGTATCCTCATACTTACAACTATCTGAATAAGTTAATAAAGAATCTGAATAAGGAAGTTTTGTTTCATACAATTGAAATTGTATGAAACAAAAAGCAAAAAATGTTATGCATAATATTTGCATCTCATACAGAGTTTAAATTAAGACCACTGATATATTTCTTTATATATCATATTAATCAAAGCTTTTGTTAGTGTGTTTTTTGGGGGGAGGGAGGGAGGCATCACACTAACAAAAAAAAGATAACGATTTATCGGCCACATCAGCATACATAGTGAAATTTTATATATTACCATGGCAACATACCGAATAGAATAAAGCCATAATAAATAATATATAAAAGATAGATATAACATCCAAGCAGCCAAAAGAGGAGGAGAAAATATAAAGTGTCCTATATTTCTTTTAGGCAAATATATGATACATTAATGAATAGTAAATACCATTTCAAAAAGGTATGAATAAATATGTCCCAAACTGGTGATTCTAGGCTCATAATTTCAGCTTAAAGTATGAATAAAATGTAATAGTCTTTGAAACTATAATATTTATAAGATGATTATTAGTAAAATTCACTAAACAGGAAACTTTTAAGGTTTCTGTAGAAAAAAAACATTTAAGAGAAAACTGCTTTCTCAGCTAAGTCAAACAAATGAAAAATATCTGTTCTTATATGATAAGAAATAGTTAGGTAGCACTAATTAAAAATTTGGAAGATATAAAAGTTTAGGTTAACCCTATTATAATACTCCTCTCTTTTATCTATTAACTATGTGTTGAGGAATAATCGCTTTAAGCGAATAATCGCTTAAATCCAAGAACAGAAATGTTAACTCAAGAAGCGTTAATTATCCTTTATCGCTCAAAATAAAGATTCACAGATAGCCCCTTTCTCGGGGCGCACAACAAAGGCTCCACTTAAGCGTAAAGTCATAAATGTAAGAAATAAGAACTAAGTAGTGACTAACTAAAAGGATTTAGCCGAAGTTAACACAAACTCTAAACTAGTTGGCCCGGTATATTAAATTAGCTAACGAAGCTATTAAAAGGCGGGTAATACGCCCGAGCGTAGTAACAACTTCGAAAAATGTACCCCAAAGGCATACTCGCGCTATCCAGTAATCCAAATTCTCTCTCTGGAAGTCAGTAGAGCTTTGACTTAAATACTTACTCCTTCTCATTTGCATCTAACGCGATTCTAAAACCTCATATTGGTGAGGGATTGTATGCTGAAGCTAGAAGACATAGGAAAAGTGCAAAAACTTAAAATAACTGTTATAAAATTAGGATATACAGTGGATGGACAAAAATATGGAAACACCTTGTGAAATGCATGTTTGAAAAGAAAGATTGATTTTAATGAAATATGTAGGTGGCGCTGGCGTTTTTGACTACTGACGCCACCTATACAACTTCGTAAATGTGCTAAACAGTTCAGTTGTTGTCGGAGTACTGTTATGTGAGGTTGCCATTGCATTATGTCAGAGTTAACAGACTTCGAACGTGGGCAAATTGTTGGAGCACGTATGGTAGGTGCTTCCGTAAGCAAGGTAGCCGAGGTGTTTAGTGTTTCAAGAGGTACTGTATCGAAGATTTATTCCGCATATTTTAAAAGCGGAAAAACATCATCTGCTAAATCACAGCGCGGATGAAAACGTGTGAGTGATCATGACAGACGATCATTAAGGGCAATTGTGACGAAAATAAGAGACCACGCTGCAAAAGTCTGCTGAAATAAATGTTTGTTAACCCTGTGAGACCAAACAATTAGAAGGGAGCTTCATAAACAGGGAATTGCTGGCCGTGCTGCAATTGAGAGCACTCATCATGTCTAAGCCCTAACAGGCCATCTTGCTGGGTGGCTCAAGGAAGTCTCCTCGCCCCCGCAATCTTTAACCTTTATGTAAATGATATTCCTAAGGCCCCAAATATCGATCTTGCATTATACGCAGACGATACAGCCATCATTTCTCAACACTCCAACACCCTCCAGGTAATCTCACAATTGCAGAGTTACCTTTCGACCTTAGAACTCTGGCTCGGTCTGTATAAAATCAAAATTAATGTCGCAAAATGTGCTGCCACCATGTTCATCCGAAGAAATATCCCAAATTTACCTAATTTAATGCTCTTCGGTGAACCCATTCCCTGGGTCTCTTCTTACAAATATCTAGGTGTTTTACTAGACTCAAAATTAACTTGGCAGCCTCACATCCGCAAAATCATAGCGGGTGCGACAGCTGTCAAAACCGCCCTACGCCCCCTCTTAGCTAGTCATAGCGACCTGTCAACTGATAACAAAATCTTGCTCTACAAATCAATGATTAGGCCGGTTCTTACGTATGCGTGTCCCGTATGGGGCCCATGCGCACTGACTAACAGAAAACATGTCCAAATTTTTCAATCTAAAATGCTTCGGCAAATTCTAAAAGCTCCGTGGTTTGTACGGAACGAAGAGATTCATAACGACCTCAAAATTATGCCCATTAATCGCTATATACAGCGACTTTCGGAAAAATTTTTCAAAAATATTCAACGTGTTGCAAATCCTGTGCTTCATATGCTACCCGTATACGATCCTGCTGTTGCTTCTTCCCGAAAAGACCCAGAGCGGTTCTTCAATAGGGAATATTCAGCTCTGCCATTTAAACGGGCTAGATATGAGCACACTGATAGCCACGTGAATAACTACCTCTCGTTCCTTAACCCCCCCGCCTCTAAAGTTCTTTAATGCACACGGCATTAACTCGAGGAACCTCCTTAACGTTTCTTTAATAAGAAACATCACAGTCAAATAGGACTGATTTAACATACTTTAATCTTTCAACTACAATAAAACTGAAAAAGATTCTTTAAACTTTAACTTCTCTCTTCCTTTAAAAAGGAACTTTCTTAGGCGCTTAACAGCGTCCTTTTTGGCTTTTAAAAACCGCAATGAATAGCGGTCAAAAAATGAAACTTCTCCCTCCCAGCTGATCACTGACAGAACTACTTTTTCGACCTGTAAACAGGTTCCCCCCTCCCTCCCACCTCGAAGAACGCGCATCGGAATTCCCCTGCGTGTCCTTCATCTGACGTATGCAAAGAAAATGATTATCAAGGTTCAAGGAAACTTCACCTTTTATTTTTCTAGTCAAAATTTTATGGCTGCCCCTATCTAAATTATTCTGGCCCTTTTTCGGCGCAAAATTAAGACCTTCTGAGTTTTTTGCCTTTTTTTGACTCAGTGTGAAGGCACTTACTCCAAGTCATTCGGCTTATCAAAATTTTTACCCTATTTGACAATACCCTCTTTCGGATGATTTAATTTCCTTTGAAGATGTGGAGGTAAAGGGCGTAATTGCCTATGAACTCCGTAAATTGCACTTCCTTGATCCTGTGCCAGAAGGTGGTAAGTCGTAAGCTGGCATAACAGTCGACTATAAGTCGAGTCTTCGTAATGTTTCCTTCTGCCGGTACTGAGAACCCATTCAGCCTATAATACAGCTTGTTGACAAAGTGAACATGGCGGGGGGTTTGTTTGTTGGCAGCCATATCGGGTTTGCTAGCCCCATGATATGTGTCAGGGCACATGACTGCCAAGACTAATGTGAATTTTGGCCGATCAAGTTCATCCCATGGTACAAACTGTGTTTCCCGATGGTGATGGTGTTTTCCAAGACGACAAAGTCCCTGTTCACACAGCTCACATTGTCCAGGACTGGTTTTCTGAGCACGAGGATGAGTTGTCCCATCTCCCCTGGCCATCACAATCACCAGACCTGAATGTTATCGAACCTTTGTGGTCTACATTGGAATGGAAAGTGCGTTCTCGTTATCCACCGCCAACATCATTATCTGAACTTGCCACCGTTTGCAGGAAAGATGGTATAATATTCCCTTGGCAAACATACAGGAACTGTATTTATCCATTCCGAGAAGTCTGCAAGCTGTTTTGGATGCCGATGGGTTTCCTACACCATATTAAGCAAAGAAACATGTTTTTTTAAAGGTGTTTCCATATTTTTGCCCAACCCCTGTACCTTACACTACGTATACAAAGCTTTCAAATACATTTCTTTAAAATACATTTAGCATTAGAAAGCATTAATCTTAAAGAATTAGCTTCAAACTAACCTGCGTCGAAACGGTTCAGCATATTGACACTAATTTAGCATATCTGCATTTACAATTCAACATTTTTGCTTTTAATTAATTTCAGTTACATACAAAACCTCAAAACAACATATTTCTTCTCATGAAACAGATTTCAGCATAAAAGTTTAACAGTTTTTCAGGCCAGATTTTGCATATTTAAATGGATTTTATTTACTATAAGGCCTTAGCAAGCTCAGACAAACTCCATTGTCCATTAAACTTTCTCAAGAGTTCCTACAAAAATTAAATTTAGGATATTTTTCCTTCAAGGTGAAAAGTGACTGAAGTTTACATGATTTAATAGTCTATCTTATTTAATTTATTTCTTAAGGGGACTCGTACACCTTAAAACCCATAAGATGTTCGAATAGGTGACTGTTGCAAGAATTGGGATAACTTATTTATTTTACAAGCAATTACTAACAACGTTTTACAGCTGATTACATAATATAGCTGCTTTCTGAAATAGGGATCAGAAAGTTTGTGTTGCCACAAATGTTTTTATGATTGAATCACCTTTGTGACAATATTTTTCGTCATGTTTCCAACTTGCGCGCACAGTTTGAAACATTCTGTTTCATAATTTAATTCTATATTTAATATATAGCTTTTATAACATTTGGAAACTACTGTGAAACTATAATTCTAAAAATTTCATGTTAAATTTTTATTTGATTTTGAGTTGAATTTATAAAATGTATTTTATTAAAAAAAAGTTTTCGCCCATAAAATTTTTCAGTATTAAAATATTCATCATATTGTTGGTTCAGTTAGAAAATAGTGCCCATATAAAGAATTTCATCCAATTTCAAGTATGTACCATTATCCATTTTTAAAATATCATGCGCGCAAGGTGGAAACACGGCGAAATATTTGTCCAAAGAAGATACATTACAAAAATATTTGTGGCAACAGAAACTTTCTGGTTACTAGTTTCCAAAGCAGCTATATTATGTAGTCAGCTGTAAAAAGTTGGAAGTATTTGCTATTGAAATAAATAAAACATCCCAGTTCTTGAAACAGTCACATATTCGAAGATCATGAGGGGTTTAAGGTGTATGAGTCCCCTTAAACTGAAACCTTGGCTCTATGACCAATTGCTCAAGAAATATTCATTCATGCAACCTTTCAAAATTACACTTCATGATAAGCAAAACATAGATAATTGTAATTATAATGAGCGCCATCATGTTATGACGCTAAACAGATGAATTTTCTACTTAAAAACCTGTAATTGACTAATAAATACAAATCACGAATTTTCAGTTACCTGTCACTTTTTTCCCTTGCCAAGCTCCAAGAGGAATGGGCTCGTTGTCTTCTCTTCTCCATGTGATATTTGGAGTGGGATAACCAACAGCTTTGCAGGTGAGTGTGACATTCGCACCTTCCCGGACAACAACATCGCTGCTGCTACCTTGGTCCAAAATATCTGGTGGAACTAAAAATTTAGGATTATTTTTTATGAGGAAATAAATGGATAACTTGAGTTAGGGGTAATATGGTTTAAACAAAAACCGGAAAGTTAATTAATTTTACACAAGATAATAATGTGCTTTTGCTATATTCCCACAGAAAAGATTTCTTTTACTAATATGAGAGCAGAAATCAAACTCTAACTTTTTAACTGAAATTGCTTAAATTTTTAGAACTATTAACAAGTTTGGAACAAAAGTATAAAATACATAGATTTCGTTTTGCTGTATGCTTACAACTCTTAGAATGGCATGATATACAACTAAATTTTGATATTGGAAGCTTATAATTATTCATTTTCGAAATTTCATTGCCTTTGTTATCATATCAGTTACAACTAATCAATCACTGTGAAAAGGAAGAAAATATAGCATTAAAATTCATAGCCCTTCCTGAAATTCTTGTAGTTTTATTAAAATTATTTCACATACTGACAAAATTAAATGTATGTACTTCGATAATATGCAGATATTGCGATTTTCAATGAAATAAACTAATCTTTAAACATAGTGGACAGAAGATTATTCATAGATGCCGACATTCAGAATCTTTGGATAATCTGCATTCATGTCCTTCGTGATAATGTTTAAATGTTGTGAATTAGAAGATTATCCACAGATATCGAAATCTGCGTATCCAAAAAGCAATATTTCAAGACAGATAAGCCAGTTTCCAGGAGCTTCGGATTTCGACATGATAACTATTTCACATTCACTCTATTTCAATATAATGTAAAATACTGATAACAACTTAGAAATTGCATGTAAAGAGAAAACAGCAGAAAACTCAGGTTTCATGTGACGTCAGTAATGCTAGTTTTTCAGCAAGAAAAGAATCTCATTAAGTCATCAATAGCTACATTTACGTTAGCTTTTAAACAGCATAACGTCCCAAAATTGCCTGAAAATATTTTAGATATGTGCATAAACTTGAACAGAAGGAAAAGAAAATGTTGCCAAGTAAATGAAAATTAAATTTCCATACTAACTTTGTTCTTGTGCACTTAATTACAAATAGAAAGCTTCAAAATAATCTTTTGAACATCATCAAAAGTCTTCAATTGAAAATTTCTCATTTTAAAGTTACTTAGATTAGTCTGTGTATTTTTAACTCTTTCGCATCGAAGTCGCCCGTAACGCCCGTTCATTCAGACAACGACAAACCGCCCCAACGCCTCGTTTATTTCCTACCTAGTTCTTTCCCCTCCACGTTAGTGTATAGCTCATTGGTTTCGCGAGTTGTTAAAAGACATGTCAGTCATTCTTTTGAAGCAAATAAAGGAGAAATACGGAAAGCTATTGACGTTCGCAGGTGCAGTCCGGCCCTAACGTGAAACTGCACACAATGGATGAAACCGCAGCGGGAAAGCAAAACTATTCCAAGACAAATTCGTAAACACGGGCGTTTTCGATGTTTGTTGAAAACAGATTTGGTCGTCTCTCGATGCGAAAGAGTTAAGCATCAGGTTCCGGGTCTTTAAACCGAAACTTCCGGTTCATTACGCAGAACAAGAACAGCCATAATTTTGTTTCGAACGATCGGGGAGAAAAAAATACAAGTTTTTGGAAAGCTTAATATACACGCTTTAAAATAAAGTAATAAAATAATTTTTTAAAACTTTCACCAAATCGGCGATTGCATCAAATAGGAAAATGCCTGGTGCCAGCTCTGTGTATGATGCATTAAGGCATATTAGATGAATCTTTTAAATTTAAGTTTTCAATGTCTTTATTAATAAAAAAATCCCTTTCTATAATGCCTGCCCAAGTGATAAGATTAGAAGCATTTTTGATATTTTCCATGCTTGTGTATAGTGAAAAGTAGAGAAAATAAAGAGAAGATAAACATGTTAAGAAAAAGATTATAGTATCAGGTATAGTATAAAAAATTCAAATGTTATGTTTTCATTGTTCTTCCAGACATTCTACAAAAAGTAAGAAATTCATCGCAAACTTTCTATAAAATACATCCATTACGCGTTGATACCATGGAGACATTTTTCATTTTGTCACATATTTCTCGAATCTTCTAGAATCGTGAATCTATAAATCTTGCCTTCAAATCCTTCTAAGCTTTCCAAGCTGCATTGTCAAAAATACTAAAGAAAATTATCCCAACCAATTCTGTAACAGCAAAAAGCCAGAAATATTTTGGAAAAAAAGAAAGAAGAAAGGAGGGAAAAGTGTAAAATTAATTTTATAGAGAAAACTGATGCATATTCTGAGAATTTTAATATTCTGAGACAATTACATGGGGAAAATCCTTACTATGAAAAAATTAAAAGGAAGGCATTTTTAATTAATTACATAGCTATTTTTGCTTTTGGTAAGAGCTGTTTCGTAAATTATGCTTTATAGCTTTATACCTTGTTTATTTTTCAGATTCAAAATATTGTATAATAAGTTGCCAAAATGAAACTTTATAATATGACAGCGAAAAATAAAAAATGTTTTATTTTAATGTTATTTTTTAAATATAATTCCAATATATTACCATTATTTTAATGAAATTTATCAAGGTTATGTGATGTTTTAAAAAAATCGTCGAAAAATTCTCAGATTTCGGAATTAAAAATTTTTTATAGAAACTGACCTTAAAATCGCCAAAATGTTGACAAGTCGCCAAATTTAAGCTTAAGAGGACTCATACACCTTAAAACCCCTCATGATCTTCGAATATGTGACTGTTGCAAGAATTGGGATATTTTATGTATTTTAAAAGCAAATACTTCCAACTTTTTACACTGACTACATAATATAGCTGCTTTGGAAACTAGTAACCAGAAAGTTTGTGTTGCCACAAATATTTTTGTAATTTAATCCTCTATGTGACAAAATATTTCGCCGTGTTTCCTTCTCGTGCGCATGATATTTTAAAAATGGCTAATGGTACATACTTGAAATTTTATGGAATTCTTTATATGGGCACTGTTTTCTAACTGAACCAACCAATCTGATGAATATTTTAATATTGAAAAATTTTATAGGCGAAAACATTAAAACGTTTTTAATAAAATACATTTTATAAAACTCAACAAAATAAAATAAAAATTTAACATGAAATTTTTAGAATTTTAGGTTCACAGTAGTTTCCAAATGTTATAAAATCTATATATTAAATATGGAATTAAATTATGAAACAGAATGTTTTAAACTGTGCGCGCAAGTTGGAAACATGACGAAAAATGTTGTCACAAATCGCATTAAAATTATAAAAATATTTGTGGCAACACAAAATTTCTGATTACTATTTCAGAAAGCAGCTATATTTTGTAGTCAGCTGTAAAAAGTTGGTAGTAATTGCTTGTAAAATAAATAAGTTATCCCAATTCTTGCAACAGTCACCTATTGGAACATCTTATAAGTTTTAAGGTGTATAATTCCCCTTAATAAAAGAATTCACATCCCCAAAAGCGAAAGTTGTTTAAGAGCTCTTTATTACAAAAAATAAATTTCGAAATTCTTATGTTTCACTTGTTGCTTAGAAACTCGAGTATCCCATCATTTACATTAGAAATAGAACAAATTATAGCCCATGAACCCATTCAAAAGATAACCATGTACGTCAGTGAATTTGCCAAAATTATTCCTCCAAATTGCTAATTCACACTCAAAATGGCAGTCGTAAAAACAAATAGAAATTTCAGATGATTAAAATTAAGGACCTTCAGCTGATTTGGGCTAAAATTAAGGACTTTTAAGAACCAAAAATCGATTCCAAAAAACTTAAGGACTTTTAAGGACTCTTAAGGACCGTACGAACCCTGGTAGTCGGATATCCTAAATGAATTTATCATGCTCTAAAAAGGAAACCTATGCGAAAAACATTAATAAAATAAAAAATAAAAAATTAAACTTAAATAAAATGCAATGGTTCCAAACATTACTTAAAAACAATGCAAAGACAGGTTTAGTAAGGGCATGTAATAATAAGCATAATATTAGAGAGATGAAGAACAAATTATACTGTCGTTATTCATGGCTTGAAAAGTTACCTATGGTTCACTAGTTATTATTTCATATTACGTATTCGCTCTGTGTGGCACCACTGCGAAGCGTTTGCTCACACCCACATTTTAGGCCCGGAAATATTAATCAAAAAGCTTTAATATTTAACGGGAACGAGATAAAGCTTTCCTAATGGAGCTCCATCTTTTTGGTCAACAATTAGACAACGTGATTTCTATTCCATTAATCTCTCCTACGATGGCACAAATCTGGCAGCTAGGGAAGAAGGCTTAGCATAGAGGGAAATAGGGAAGGAAGAGTCGTTGTTTAAAACTATGCATTACCACAATTTCCTCATAATTGTTACTCAAGGGACCACTTGCTCTGTCATAAATTTCTTGTAATCGATTTAGTTGTCAGAACTCCAATACATGTGCCAAATCTAATGGTCATCCTATTTGAAGTTCACAAAATTTGAGTAGGAATTTTTATCTATCTTTTATCAGACCACGTAAATCTGAAGCGAAACTTTTATCTGATACCAAATAGAGTTAACAGTTTTGAATTGTTCCAATAAAGAGAGTTAATTTATGTAACATTTAGTAAAGATAACATTCAAGAGTTCACTTTGAACAACATCTAATTTAACGATATTATTTATATATTTTCTTCTGCAGCATAATTGCACAATATCTGGCAAACAAAGTTTTGAAAGGTTTATATTAAATTTTACATGTATTAGAAATATTTGGTTCCTGTAATACATGAAACGATATTGTCAAGAGAAAAAGTTTTTGTTGGAAATTAATTAAAACTGCCGTTAAAAGACCTTTTCCAAGATAGCTAGAATATTAACTGAAGCGTTTAATATATCAAAATTCAAAAGACTTGTAGAGTCATTAGGTTAATTGGAAGCAGAAAAGATGAAAAATATGCAACCGCCTTCGCCGGGAATCGAACCACGTACCTCTGGAATACCGGCCCAGCGTGCTACCGTTACACTACGAAGGCACGCTAG